AATATATAATCCGACAGGTTTTAATGCGACGATTTATGTGAAATTTGATGTTTCCAATTACCGTGATGATTCGATTTAGCGCCCAGGGTGCTTCTCTATTGTTGATACCTCAAGGGAAGGTGCCTATCAGGGTCATGGCGCTTGATTATTTTTTTGAGAACAAGCAGATTATGCAAAACAAAGCTTTGATGTTTGTTTGAAAAAGATCAAGAAGACTGGAAAACGGACTTGTTGTCCGGCCTAGATCCTTCCTGGCTGTAACGACCAGCCAAGCTGTCGCCGCAATTTTAAGACGAGATCATTCGTTTGAAGGAACTGTGCTCTCACGTGGACATCATGGTTCAGAGACAAAGACAGCTTTTTGATAATGAGGCTCTAAGTGAGAAGTAAAACGAAGATGAACCACGGTTGATCTCAATGTTTATGTACTCTAACGGTGCTATCACTGAATAGAGGCGCTCATTGAAATGAGGATGCTTAGTCAATGGGAGCACTTATTAGAATAGGGGCGATTATTAACAAAACATGGCAAATTCGGGAGGACGTTCAATAAAGAGGCGGCGCTTAATAGAACGAGGGCGCTAAGTCGAATTATTATGGTATCTTATTTATACATTGCTATTAGGAATTTGATGTTCAGTTTTCACTCCTTCTTTTCAGTGGGAAAGGAAATATTGCACTTTGACGAGGCCTAGCAGTAAACAGGCTGAAAGTTGTCTGCTTTTCAAACGATCGGAATTTGGTAATTTAGCATAGTTGTATTTTAACTTCCTTTTGAATTCAGCTTTCAATCAAATTCAGCCTGTTCATTAGGGCTCTGGCACGCCTATAGAGCTGCAAGACATCTAAACAGACTACAGAAATTTTCCTCCTAACAAGACGTCATCATATTTAATCCGAACGAATGAGGACATTCCTTTTTGAAACGGCCGAAGAAAGGCAACTCGTTCGAAGGCCCTCCTCTGGTCTACTTAAGCGATGCTAAGATTATGAATGTTTCTTAGTTCGTTATTTTCAAGTCATTGTGTGTTAGTGTTAGCATTAAACCACTTTTTTTGTATTTATCCAGTTCAACACGCGTCCTTTAAAAGAGCCACATAGCAGTACTTAGCCCATCGCACATCGTAGTTAGAGATGATCAGTGTAGTTTTCATACCAAAGCAGACAATGCACTTCTTAGGTAACTGAAGCACAGACGTTTGTGAGATGAGCGCTCCTTTTCCCAGCGCTTACACAGTTCAGATTTCTTCTGTGTGCAATCTTAAGTTTAAAATCCAGCAACGACTACTTACCAGTTTTTCAGTTGATATCGAAGCACGCCAAAAGTAATTTCATTCTATTTCCTGTTGCCGCTAGCGTCTCGAGAGCGTCTCTGCTTTGTTATGGGAGTTGAATCATGTAACTTTTTCCCATGAGGAGAAGCAACCACTTGCATAATGTTACCTTATGTTGTAGATGTTTTTAATTCGAATTTATTTCTTGGTTGTACAAGATTTAGAGCAAGGTATCTGTTGTTGTTTTTTGATTTGGAAAACTGAAGTGTAGTAACATTTAAAATGTTACAGCACCAAAAGCGAAAGAAATGCGAGAACCTCTATATTGCCGTTTTTTTCTTCCTTTGTCTTTCTGTCGTGTTAACAGATAGCTTTTCGTAGTCGATGATTGCTCGGCCACGAAGTTGACCGAAGGCTCTGGAAGACATATACAAGATAATGCTTTGTTATGATCGGTTATGATGTTGTGAATTGAATATTTTTTTTTAATAAAATATATTTAAACATAATGTGGTTTCTTGAATTTTATTTCTGCAAAGTTCAATAAGACTGGCTGTATAAGCATTTTGAACTTTAGTTTCTTTTCAATG